GGGATTGTGTAGGGGTGTAGTAGGGATTGTGTAGGGGTGTCGTAGGGATTGTGTATGGGGTGTCGTAGGGATTGTGTAGGGGTGTAGTAGGGATTGTGTAGGGGTGTCGTAGGGATTGTGTATGGGGTGTCGTAGGGATTGTGAGGGGTCTGTAGTCTGTATACAGCTAAGTAGGTTAAACATAACCTTTCTAAAATGCAACTGTCTACAGATGCAGGGTTGGTAGTTTCTAGGCAAAAGCCTGATTGCAGGTTTTTCATATAAACTGTTGGGCCAATGTCAGGCCTTAACAAGGTACATTGAGGCTTCTCTTCTCCTACTTTCAGGCTCTGGACAAAACCTGATTTGGTTTCCCAGGTCTGTGGAGCTTGCAGAAAGTCGAAGCTAGTCCCCTTATAGAATAGTTTCATTGGATATGAAGGAACTCCAAGGCTTTTTTTTTTTTTTGCTTTGAGGTAATTGACCTAAACAACAATCACCCTAGCTGGCCATTTTATAGGGAAACAAAGCCTGTATAATTTGTCAGATTTACTTTTCCATCAGGTTCTGATAACCTATCGTAGACTAGGCAGTGTAATCGCTGATACTTGTCACCTTTCGTAATTTATTTCTTTTCCGTTGATTTTCTCTCATCACAGAAGGAGGTCTCGTTCGCGCTCTCGGTCTCGTTCTCGAACAACCAGACAACGCTCAAGGTCTCGGTCTAGAAGACACTCGAGATCACGCTCTAAAGATCGCCGTCGTAGGTGAGTGGCAGACATGTTGGCAGTTTGTCAGTCTTTGCTTCATTCTTTGGTTAGGTGCCAAAAAGAAGGGCTGTTTGGGACATAAAATTACCCGTTAATGTGGAAAGTAAAGAAACATCAGTTACTGCACATGCATGTTGGGACAGATGTGAATTTTGTTGTTCACCCAAAATGTGAACGTTAATTTAACGATTAGGACTGCTATAGACTGCATGTGGGGACCTTTTCAGGGATGGCAAGAAAATTTGTATGCACTGGTTCATATTTGTAGTTTGGATTGCTCAAGACACATTGTGAGCATGGATCTGCAGTGTCTTTGTGCTCGAGAAATTTGCCTGGGTGTGATTGCCGTCTTACACTAAGCCCGTTGTTAATTGACTCCATAGCTGTCACTGATTCTCTCCAATGTTTTGTTTTATTATTAAGGTCACGATCGCGCTCCCGAGACAGACGCCGCCGGTCCCGCTCTCGAGACCGCGACCGCCGCCGCCGATCTCGCTCCCGTGATCGCGACCGACGTCGCAGGTCTCGCTCCCGTGATCGCGACCGCGACCGACGCCGCAGGTCTCGTTCCCGCTCCCGCTCTCGTCGCTCTCGATCTCGTGAGCGCCGGCGGGACAGAGATGAGAGGGACAGGCGGAGGCGGTCCCGATCAGAGTCTGGCGACCGGAAGTCACGCTCCAAGTCGGAGAAGGCGGAGTCTTCACCCATCCCCCTGGAGACAGCTGATGCTGACGAGTTATCCGTTCCTCCACCTACAAAGGAAAGCCCAAGCGCCGTTTCCCAAAATGGAGTCGAAAGTTCACCACAGAAAGAGAACGTTGCAATGGAAGAAGGAGAAACCAGTGATAGTCCCTGAACGATACCCAGCATTCACCCATGGAGTTTTCTCCTTGTATAGAACCAAGGTTTGTAGCCAAAGGCTTACAGTTGGTTGAATTTCATTTTTTTATGAGAAAAGGAGACAGATTAACAGTGAAGTTTGCATTAGGCTGCTTTCCATAGAATTAAATAAGTTGAGTTTCTCAAACATATCTGTTATTTGAATGCACATTGTACTTCAATCCTACCTCATTCACAAAAAATGAAATAAGGGGTTTAACTTTCTGTGACTTCCTTTGGGTTCTGGAATTGCTCTATTATTTTCAATCTAAGTTTTGAGGGAAATTATTTCCTTTTTGCAAAAGGTAAAGGCCGTTACGTTCGCACTAAAAAGTTTCATAGACGTTGACAGGACATATTTGTTATTTGTGTAAAGCGTGGATGGGGTTTCTGAATCCTGGTAATCTTTTTTTTTCCATTTTCTGTGTTTATTGCAGCATCTAAGCTTGATCTTAATGTCCGAATTTTTGATGACCTGTAGTACATCAAAAGGAATAAAAAGCTCCATTTCCATGTTTGTATTTTGTGATGTGGTATACTCCTATTTACTAAATTTACATTTACTGCTTTCATATTACCGGTAGGTAAAAGAAACAAAATGTGAAGATTTGTACCCTCCCTCTGATAGGAGAATGTTACTGAAATTACTAGTCAGCTGTACATTTAGCCATACAGATAGGATACACATTATTGGAATGCTTGAAAGGGGAAGTTATGGCTCCATTTCAATAAATTCTTATCTACAATGTACAATTTATATTGAAAGGCACAATTCTTGTATCAAAAAAATGCCCTTACAAAGTTTAGTCTTGAAGTAATTAGGAGAGATATTGGAGCCAGAAAATATCCACATGATAATAGAATGCATGTCATGCCGGAATTGGCGTGGATATGTCTTGGCTGATAATGTCTACCAAAACACCCTTTGAAACGGGCAGCTTTTGCAAGATTGCTGGTATTTTCCTTTTTATTTTTTACTTTTCTTTTAAGCAGATTGTGGAAACTTCTTTATGTGTGTTCCTGCATGTTTATACAATGCTACTCCCTTGCTTGGCTGTAAAAAAAAATTTGCTGCTCTAATGCGAAAACCCTTCTCTCAGTCCTCAAACATGTACATATTCTTCTTGTTGACCACTTGGAAATGAGTTGGTGTTCAATAAATGGAAATTCCTAGTGGAGAAAATACAGTATATATGGTTGTCATTTTGATTGTGTTTTCTGTGCATCTGTGTTATTGCTTCTGCTGGGTAAAATTTGACTTCAACCCCGTTGCAATATGAAATAAATCATATTTAAGGAGAATTTATCAAGACTTCAGCGATTTGCTGAGGCAAAAGAAATGAATGCGAGGTCGGCTAATGTATATTTTTCACCAAAAGAGTTGTTTCGTCTCTACGTGTACATAAAAAGGAATACTTGAAACTTATGGCATGAATAAGCCTTTTTGCGAGTGAAATTTAAATAAAATCTAGTACACTGAGTTACCTGATTGTGCATAAACATAATTTGAATCCCCCAGGCTAAAGACCGTTGCTGTAGCAACCACCAGCTCTGGAATAGACTGGTTCTTTTTTCCCCGTCGTATCCATAGAGAACTGTGTTATTTTGCAAGGCGTTTCATAATCGTGTAACTACATGTAAGCACAAGCTTTCCCCAAATCGCAAGGTGTAGCAACAGTGTCTTTCAATTCAATTATGTTCACATGAATTGCAAAAAACTCATTGTACCAGATTTTATTAAGCTTTAACTCGCAAAAGACTTACCGAGTCCCTGTATAAATAGGAGTAGACCATTCGACCTAGCACGTTTGAAACTAAATATGGACGGAGAGCCCCCCCCCCTTTATACAGGCGCGAGATGGGACAGAGGGGCAACCCCCCCCCCACACACAAGTCCAATCCCTATACACATTCTAGCCTGTTGTTACTCCACACATCCTCCTAGATGACTGAAAAGAATTCCTATACCCAGCAAGAAATGAGACAGAGGGGTACCCCCCAACATGTCCAACCCCTATACACATTCCAGACTATTGTTACTTAACACATCCCTCCAAGATGTCTGAAAGGAATTCCCCAGATTCATGCCAGACAATGACCAATACAAAGCAGGGGGGTTCTCTCTGTCTCGCGGTTTGCATCAAATGTACCTTTGTGTCTGTTCCTGGCTCTATGGTTGTTTGACCGGATTCTCAGGAATTCTTGTCAAACATCTGATGGGGGGGGGTCTTGAGTCCCATATCTTGCCGGGTACAACCAGGCAGTTTGAGAGTCTAACAATAAAGACACCGACTTAGTCTGGAGCCCATGGAGGACCCCATATGCAGCAAGGTATGAGACGGAGAGAACCCCCCCCCCCGCTTTGNTAGAGGACCCATAAGGGTGCAGCTATTAATTCAAGTGAGAATTCCTGGCCGGCTCATCAGCATTAAAAGTGGCCCGCAGTATCTTGAAAAAGGAGATTGTATGGCCCCCAAAATGGTGAGATTGTGTAAATCTTTGCCAGAATCAACTTCCCGGGTCTTTGGGCTTTCATCCTTGGTAGAATTGCTAAAAAATATGGTTGAAAAATGGTCCTAAGTGCCTGAGAAAGTTGAGGGTTGCCACTTGAAAAATGCTGCAAGCAGACTCCGGAAAAATACACTTTTCGGGAGGTAATTTTGTTTTGTGGGAATAATTCAAAATGTTATCGGTTAACCGACAGGCAATTGAAAAGAAATTGAAAGATTAGGGACCATACAATAATTTAACGTGTGTTTCAGATACCTCAGGGATGTTGGTACGCATGTTATTGGACGCCGAACAATGCCGATTTTAAACTGCTTTTTGGCTCGAATTAGTGGACTACACCCATAAAATGGCATGTACCCATGTAAGCGTACATGTACAATGTACATGTATTATTGTGTAGTGTTTGCCCTGTGGCGTCAGAGGGAGCACGCGGTTGCACTACTCAGTTCATTCTAGTTTCGGAAAGGACTTAACGGCTACGTGAAGAGTGTACCCTGTGCTGTGTCTTTGCTACTGCTCTTCGCTGGCAACGAAGTGGAAACGGACTGATGAGACACCACCGTGGTGAGAAAAATTTCACACTTTTGATTAATAACCTCCCTTTTTGAAGTGTGTGACGCTTGTCACAGCGCCCCCTATCAAGTCCTCCATGCCAGGGTGCATTTTGGCGGTAAATATGCGTCATCCAAAATTCTATACCTCGATCGTTCACCCAGCAGATCTGAAAGTCTGCAAGGCCCCAAAGAAAATTGAAATCCTTGACAATAACAGGCAACAGTTCCCCCATCATCGATATTTACGGAATGCTTTTTGACCAGCCTCTGACAGCTTAAAACATACATGCAGTAAACATAGAGTGACACGTACGCTGGCCAGAGGCGTCACGGTGGCGTTCTAGATCCGGAACCGTGGTGATCTGCAACATAAACAGTCGGGCATGCAAAGTCCTTTGTAAAATCCGGGATTTATCTACTTCTAAATTACGTCCGTGCGAACAGATTTGGCTCAGATTGGCTGCAACATAAAGGGCAGATATTTCACCGCAAAACTGTGTCACTGGGACACTCAAAGATCCCAGTCGGGGGCGGGCGTGTTGAATACACGGAAGTTGAATACATGAGTGGGCTTCGCTAGGTAAGAATTCGAGAACGGGATATGGGGGGGGGCGGTGTCATGGAGGAACACGAGAAAACGATGTTTGATGTTTAAAGTTGACAGAACTGGACAATAAGGAGCTATAGGCCCATATGCAGTCATGTCACACGTATGAAGCCAAACCACGGTCACGGACATTTATAAGAAAATCTGGACTCGCAATGCCCTTAATCAGCTTATACTAGAGATCATTGAATCCACTAGCAGCCATTTTACAGAGCCGAATACAAACCTTGCCCGGCAATGCCCGCCTTGTTCTCCCTAGCGTCAATAAAGCGAGTCAACCCGCAGATTTGTATTCGGCTCGGTAAAATGATGTCGGCTGGTTGGTTTCTATTTCATACAAAGGCATTGCAAGTCCGTGACCACGGGTCACAACCATGCACGATGCATGACATCTATGATGTTCAACCAACCATAAAAACTTCACGTGTCAGTGAAATTAGGCTCCTATAACATTCGGGCTTTATTTTCCTTAAAAAAAACACCTCTCTGCCTGCAATTTCGACCCAGGATTCGAGCCCATACCACATTCATCACAAACCATTATGCTATAACCGCTTGACTACCGCAATTCACACAAGTTGGCGGTGTTTTTACTGTTAATATACCGATGAACGGCTGCAACGCTAGTCTAACTAATGTACATGTACATTGGACGTACGCAATACAAACACAACCACCGTGGTTTGGCTTCATGCGTACGATTGCGTATATATATATATATATATATCTCCAATAAAGTATGTTCTTATTGGTGGGCTCTTCCACTGAAAGTTTAAACACGAGCAAGTTAGACCACGTCTGTGCACTCTAGGTCAAAGAAAATTCACCTTAGCCGTTTATTGTTTATTTGTCATTTCTTTACTTGTAACAAATAATGAATTGAGCAATACATCAATACACTGATTTTAATTTGCAAAAGGTTCCACTACGGTGTGACGTTCAGTATATTTCACAATTTACAAATAGGTACCCTGAATAACTACACTGGCCCTAGAGTGAATTGATGGGTTTCCCGACTTGTGAATTTGTTTTAATCCAACAGTACGCTATCAGTGACATTAAATGTTGTTGACTGGGTATAGTCGTGATACGTTCCCAATGCATGCAATTTACTGAACGAGTCTGAGTTCTTTGCGAGTTTTGCCCGACGCCATTTGCAAAACAAAAGTGTCCTGACATATTGAAGCTTGCCCTTTCAACCTTTTTTTATGGCAGCAATGCAAAGAACTCAGGCTTCCCATACCAGTGAAAAACAAAAAACAAAAAAACAGTAGAGGAAAAACTTTTTTACCGTGACAAGCACACCCGCATTGAGCCCTGAACAAGTTTGTCTGCCTCTGTCACCAGCGCCGCGACCTTAGTATGGTCGCATCGTACTTTAAAAGGTGGTGAGACTGGGATCTGCTTTCCCGCTTAGAGTTGAGACAGCTGATTGCGGGTTTTAGGAACTAAATTAGGCAATTCCCGTCCGACAGTCCGACTTGTGACACTGTGATCTCACCACGTTACTTGCCAGAGTACACATTAAAGCCATTAGCTTGCGCATTAAATACTATGTTTCACATTTTACTTCCTGTATGAACAGTTCTCAAAACCGCTATAACCGTTTTTGGTATGTTCAAGTGACCAAAGTCCACATAGCCAGATGTCATACACATCACTGAACGGAGTCAACGACCTAATCTTTAATAACAGTTTCCACATTAACTTTCTTTTTGCGGAACTATAGTGCAATCATTGCAATAAATTATCTTTTACAAGGACACATTTGACTACGAAGTTCCAAAGAAATGCCCACTTTAAAACTATATACAATCACATTAAAAAATATCTTATAACAATATCCCAGAATGTACTTACAGAGAGCGCGCATTAGAAAGCGTTCCCTTTAATGAATGTCATTTCAACATTTCAAATGAGACTAGCAACCAATGGGCTGGACTTCCCCTGGGGGCATGTGTTCCTCGTGCCCCCCATAGTTAAGTCAATATATTTCGGTCGTGCATCTGTTGCCTGATAGGCCTACAGTAAAAGTAATGCATGGAGGAAGGATACTGGAGTTACAACTCTGGCACTTCAAAGCGCTCGATGATCATCGCCGCGCGGTCAGACGAACAAGAGTAAATATTCCAAAAATGCCTAATTACTGCCTGCAGTTTAGCCAGACAAAATGGGACCGGTAATGTTCCAGCAATATTTGCGGTGTTTTCTTTTCAATTAACTACAACTTATCGCTGTGAACAGAAAATAGAGAAAAAAGTCTAACATTAGATTTACATCTGCCATCGTGATTTTTTTTTAAATTTTGATACACGTTTCCATTATCCATGCAATGTTTGCAATTTTAGTTTGTCACTCCAAAACATCATTTTTCAAAGTCTTTGAACAAAGTTTGCTGAGACTGGCGAACAGCATGCTGATCACCACAGGACAGTTAGGTTAATGTTAATGGAATTGCGCCTTCATCGGTTTTCCGGATAAGTGCGCTATATAAATTGTTTATTATTATTATTATATTTACAAATAGGACATTTGGGAGACATTTTGTGGTAAATTTTTCATCATCGGGGAGACATTGGCTTTTAGGGAGACATTTCAGTGTCTCCGTATTTTTAAACTACCGGAAGGAGGCCGAATTCTACCGTCCACATTTTCCACATTAAAATGAAAACATAAAAACATACAAAGTTTGGTTCAGATCAGATTAGGAAATATTGAATTATGGGACAATAAAGTTGGAAAAATTTTGTCCACGTTCTTATGAGAATGTCTCCCTTATGCCCATTAGCGGTAATTAATATTATTATTAATTCATAACTAACAAATTGCGCTATTTCATCACAAGGTGTGATCATGAGATCTCATAAAATCCTTTTTTATATAAATTCCGTATTAAAAATTATTTAAATAAAACACAAAATCTTATAAACAACTTGGCTATTTATTCCCTAAATAAGTCCAGAAGAAAGCATCGGGAACACAGCCTAATACAAGCAACTGCGAAAGCATTTCATTTGATGTTGCCAGATCATAAGAGGCATCAACGGTGGCATGAATATTCAATTTCCTATACTTCAGTGCTCAAAGCTTTAAGGATGTAGATTACCAACGAAAAATTGCGGCGATGATCACAGGGTACAAAGAGGTCTTATGGTGGTGAAACAGGTGGTGCTCAGCTAGCCCTCGCTGCGCTCGGGCCACGGGCATGCCAGAAATAAACTGCAGGAAGCGGTAATTGGCCAGACGTTACAGCCCGGGCAGTTCAAACTCCTTCAGTGTCCTTCCTCCATGAGTACTGTTGGTTGGATTTGATTATAACACTTACGAGTATATACTTCCAAAGTCATCGCATTTTATGGCAAATTAATACAAATCTACTCCGTATTTACACTGAACTTTAATTACGAGGAAAATCTGGGAATCACTTTGAAATTGGACGTAAATACGACTACATCAGGACAATGAGGAAAATATTAAATAAAAAGTAGTTACATGATTAAGTTAGGCCTACCCACTATTTACATTCATTACTATGATTAAGTGCTAGCAATTTGTGTGTGCTTTTGTAATTTATAAAACAACGTGGCTGGGCTACAGGAGTCCTTCCATCGACGTGTGTATAGGTACAAGTTTAGTTTTACATGTTTTAAAAACACATCTACATAAAATAAGCCCTCTAACCAACAATATATTACCTAGTGATTACACAGAGTTGCTACCAATCATGACACCACCTTTACATCCATTGTACATTTGAAGTCCACACTTAATAACTTGTATGATAAAAGAGATTATATTTCCTTACAAAAACATTCTATAAACTACATCGATTTCAGTGAAATCTTGGTATAAAAACCACAGCCACAATGGAAATGTTTTTACCTTTTTTTAATCTGAGGACTTGCTACAGTAGTACATGCTAACCTTACCCATGTTGCGCCCTCTATCGGTTTCAAGGAGGAACATGCAGACATTGGCATTGGGGCCCTCAGGTGAAGCGCAAACCAAGGAGTTTAATCTTTTGTTTGTTAGGTCAAATCTTTTCATCCTCTGACATCCTTTGTGGATATCAGCGGCTGTCGTTCGAAAAGCACAGTCTCTGTCTCTTTGTATTTCTTTAAGTTTTCCTTGTCGGATGAGTGGTTATCACTTTTGTTTTACACTGCTAATTTCGGCAGAGGAGCCTGGATGGATGTTCACGAACGACTAAAGTTTGAAGCCACATGAAGATTAGCATTTTGACTTCTTTCACTTAATTCCCAACTGTATTAAATTAGAGGTGCCATTCAACACTGTCCGAAACGTACTTAGAATTTTACCAGCATTAATCCAGTGCAATGACAGTGCAATCAATCAATCAATCACAATGATTAGTTTGTCTTATTTGCCCAAAACATGCACAGCATCATTTTTGAAATTATACAGAGTGTGTGAAATTAACAAAATACACGTTGTTTGAACGAGCGCTGTTACTGAGCTTACGAGCGGGCATGACGGTAAACCTTCCGATGTGTTAGATTCTGTTCCTAATTTGCAGTTACCAATTTCACAGCAGTCATGGTCTGTGATGACCTCGAACGTGCAGGGAAATACCTATTGAAAGACCCGGCTTTCACATGTGTTTCATTTACCCCTTTACAGCGTCCCGGAAACAATCCTAATTAAGAACCACTCACCCATTTCTCCTTTCATCCAAATCATTTCTAATTTTCAGTTCCCCCGCGAGTAAAATACCTTACTGAAAATTTTATTAAATTATACATCCTCCCGACAAACTGAATCAGACGTAAGTATGGCCCACCACCGGCATTCAAAATTAAAGTTGCCTGTAGATGATACAGCTATATTGAGTTATTTTCTCTATGATATAGACATTTGGACCATGGAGTCAACTCCTCTGACCCGTCAGGCTGGGAGCACAGCTAGTATAGAGAGTTGGGACTCACAATTTGATTGACCCACAAGCCCTGGTTACTATGGGAACCCAGTATTCCCCACATTGCATATAATGATGACAGAGGCCTATAGAAAGTGTACTATAATAATTAGTTCTTGGAAGATTTTAACGTGAGTCAAGTTCTTAGTGGTTGATGAAGTCGGTGGTCTGAGGGTTGCAGCTTTAAGCCCAACTGTTAATTAATTCATGGGAATTGTGAATGCAAAGCAAACTCATATAACCATCAAGTTCGTCTAACAAAGTCCTGTGAACCATTGATTGATCTCAAATACCTGTTCGCACTCTTGCTTGTAAAAAGCAACAACGGGGATAGGAGCATGTGAAATGTTTCGTTTTTATAATTTGTATCGCTACATTTGGCACGATATCTGCCGTTCCATTCTAGTAACTGCTGTAAGTGCAGGAATGTACCCAGTCTCATCAGTGACTAACAACTTGAGCCACGTCTATGTTTAGACGAGAATTCGGAAACATGAAGCGCGTGATCTCGGGAGGGCATCATTTCTCGTTCTCCACCTCGTCCATTGCGCCCAAGATGACCTTACACATGAAGCCGTAGGCCAAACCCCAAGCCTCTTTGGCCTTTGGTGTGAACTTGTCTCCAAGCTGTTCGGACATCACCTCCAAAAAAACCAGTCCAAGTTCCTGCATGAAAAAAAACAAGACGAGTGAGATATTGATATGGCGTTGGTGGGCCCACGCAGAAACGTTGTTTGATGAATTCACTCTAGATTTATCAATTAATTTTTTTTTGTTCAAAACCGTGGTTTTGTCAAACGCATTGCAGTTATTGACGGTACAATAAAAGTAGCCTTCCGCCTTGGTGTTAAATATGTAAAATACCTGAATTGCACTGTTATTACCACGTACTCGACCCAGCTACAAACAGGTATGATTGCTGTCATGGAAGAATTCCTTAATTGATGCTGCAACTTGCTGAAGACGCGCAGGATCTTCCACTCCGATCTGTAACATAGCGCCCTTTAACTAAACACCACTGCACATCAGGTCCGACGACCCGTCCATTGAACCATACCCCAAAATAAACCAAAACTGTAGTGACACGGGAACTATGACAACCGCGAATAACACGGTTACGGTGGATCCAGTGGATTTGTCACGCTCGCTATTTATTGAGAAGAAACCTACAACCTCCCCCAGGTTTTCTGCCCACCCTGCTGTTGCAGACACGCCGCTCTCTATATCCTCTCAGTGTGAAACACGAAAGCATTTGGAGAAAAATGTTATTCAAATCGTCTAAAAATAACTGGTGGAAAAGATTGAGGCCACGCACGAGCCGTGGGAACCCATCAGGCCCTCGCCCTAAACCGAAAGGATCCGGGGTCGCTCTTTCAATGAATACCCCTGCTCCAATTTTAGAAGCTAGGTGGTTGAAATTAGCTCAGTTCAGTCGGCTCGCTTCTATACCTAAGCCAACCACCTTGCATGACACGGGGCCCAGGATCCGTTGCTGACGGGCAGCGGGTAAATTGGAACAGCCGTCAAATAGTTTGGGGGCTAACTCGCAGAAGTATGCAGTGAATTGGCCCCCCGAAGTGCTACAAGTACTGTTACTTTACCGAGAAATCATAGTGTCGGATGTTGTTTTCCACCTGACATTGAGATGTTGGGATTATAATACCTTTTCACCGTCAGCGATCGGATAACTTCTACGGCGTATTTGCTTTAACTGATGGAATATATAAATCATCCTTGATTTTTCCCAGGAAAAGCATTTTGTCCATGCTTTTTAGTGCGCAGTTGGTTCCATTAGAAAATAGAATGTTCGATTTGAATGACTGTTTTTAGCATTAGACTGGTTACGAATGTTCCAATGACACCTTGCGCAGGAACAAACAAAAACTTCCGTCCAAGATAAATTCCAGCTCTTAACCGAGACTGCATCGTCTTGTAGCATCGTGCAGAAGGAAAAATGTACATGTATTTCTGAAGAACTGGTACACTTTTTATCAATTGTTCATTCAAAACAGAGTCTTGATTTAAGTGCTCCACAATGATAGTAAATTCCCAAAAAGAAGAAATTGAAATGATCAAGCAATGGTAATTGTAAACAAAAAGAGGTACACTGGTTACCAGTGGGTAAGCCTACAGACAGGGGGACACTGAGTTCCAAGATGAGAGAGTAGTTGTCAAATTGACTTCCTCCCACGTCTCGGGTACAAGAGATTATGACCGTTACACGACTGCCACATAACATAAACAACAGGGAACTTGATGACCAGTTGAAAAGACAAACCTGTGACAAAACAGACCCCCAGATGGCATTTTTTGGTGTCCCTCCCGTGGAGAAACCTACACCTGCAGAAATCTCCACACTTCGGCAGGTGTGCTGCTAGGGATTATTTTTACACCAGGAGAATAAGCCTGGGGCAGTTCCACTAAATGCACGGAGTGTTATTTTAACTCAGTGCAAAACAATACCAAAGGCTGGAGGTCAAGTCGGGTCAGGTTGGTAATGACCGTGACTGCCTTCTTGGGTGGCGTGCGGCGATTGAATGGAGGCGTGACAAGCCCTTGGCGGTTGTTTGGCCGTTCGTCTGGTTAGAATGCTTAGAAGTCTGACTGTTCGCCGACTGATCGAGCCTACAGGCCAGACCCGTGCACTGACTGACTGCCTTAGACGCTCCTCCGCATCTGCCTCTCCAAGTGCGCTAAAGCCTTGTGACGGCTACCTAAAAGAAACACAGTGCATTCTGGGTAGCTTACCCCCATGAGGCAGGCGCGTAAATTCTGTGCGCACGCGTAAAATTAAGGCTATTCGTCTTGACTTTCCTGCCTTTGCACTGTTGGCTGACTTCGCATTGCTCATTTGCCGCCTGACCTACATGTATGTGGGCCTACTCGCTGAGTGGTTGGTGAAAAAAAACTTGTCAGCCTTATTTTAATGAATGTTTTACGGTACGATATATGTTCAGTCTTGTTGATAGAATGGAATGTTGGGACCCTCAGGGCTAAGAAGGTACCGGTACCCAAAAAGCCCCGCATAACTGCTTTAACGGTTCCGACTTTTTTCTCAAAACGTGAATGACAGTTCTTTCCATTAGGAAAAAGAATGATAAATCGATGGGTACAAACCCTATACACATACTGGGAAACGGTACAAGGTCTTAAACTTCACGAAGCACGGTCACTTGGTAATTGAAACTGTATTCATCCACAGAGGAATAAAACTCCATGGTTCATCCATGAACGATTATATACTGAATAGATGCAATTCGATTTTTTTCCAACCGTAATACCGAACCCATTTCCCCCAAAGTTCAAGCGCTAGGACAGCTTCTCTGAGACTAAACACTTTGCCGTGGTCGGATTACTAACTAATTCATTCATAACAGGCTGCAAATTCACACTGCGATTTCTCCCATTCGGTTTCCGGGTCTGCGAAGGGGATTTCGAGAGTAAATGTCATGTCGTTTCCAGTTCCACTTGCCGCACCCCTTGAGGCATCGTCGACAAGTGACTGTTTGCACGGGCTTTATAACTCCTCTCGATGCTGTTTGCCAGCCAAGTAATAGTTGGTAAAAGCACAGACGAGTGCAATGGGCGATGCGTCCAGACCTTTTTAGGTTTACCGTCACAAGTTACTTTCGGTCAAACTATAAATCAAATATTTTTCGGGGGAAGATCTAATAATCCAGAAAATACTCCTTAGAACAAAAGACGTCATTTTGTGGTTGATGAACTCAGTGCTGTCCTCATGAGCTGTCACAAGTTTCGTTTCACAATAACTAGCATTTACCGCCGTGTTTCAAAAACATTTTACATCATGTATCGTTGAGTTGAATACCGATGAAATTACCGACATCTGTTGGCCAAATTCTCAGAGATAGGGAGTCAGGCAAGGGTGACTATTAACAGAAAATGTGAAAAACAAACAAATTTTCTAAAGGATCGGTAAAATTTTGTCTCTTCTAGTAAGCCAACCACAGGCTGCCTTTAATGGAAAACTGTGTTACCGTCTTGAAGTTGAAGGCTCAGCAAAGTTGTAATCATTTGTCAGGGCTCAGAGTTCTTGTATAATCTTTCAAATGTGAATGTTTTTAATTCCGGAGGGGGTGTGCATGGGTCCTCCCCGAATCCAAGTCATTATTTTTGCCGGGCCAATTCCAGAGGGTATAGGCCTACAGTTTATCCAAACACACCGCTGGAAAATTACTGTCAACTGGCATATTTGCTAGATGACGAGTTGTATGGTTATACGACTGTTTGACGATTGGGGAAAAATAAAGACGGAATACAATTTGGAAGCCTCGTGTGTTACCGATTTGTGCGAGATTTTTGTAACTGTTCTCCATTCTCTAACTTTTACTTAGGCCTACTTCAGACAATCATGCTTTAGTCTTGGCTACGGGCTTCAACGTTCAACGTGTATCCACAATGAAAAACTGAGAAGGGTCGAGTTCGAGGTAAGTGAAACACATCAATATATTTTTTGAGACCCCAGATGTCCAAGCAAACACTGACAAAGCCGTCTCATCTCTCTAATGTTGGCCAAAACAATGTCACTTTCAAAGAGAGTGCTTTCTAAATACAGTAGTTCCCGATTAAGTTCCCTCGCTAAAAAGTGCAGAGACATTTACAAAACATATTGGCACTATACAAACGGGTGTAAACACTCGGATTGAATGCGCTTTTTTGTGACGTTAGCTCCAATAAGCACGATACGCCCACATAGACCATTACTGAATCCGGACGAATGCCCGATCTGAAGAGGGCGCCGTGTAGCCATACAACGAGGATTGAGATGTGCCAAAGTTATGGCTACGGCAAGAAATAATTACGCGGAAGCCACTGGACTCAGCAGCCACAGCCACTCCCCATAGACGCCTGTGACTCCTGCAGACAGCCCGTTGATGCGGTACCAAACATTTGGTGGTACACACATGAACATGCGCGATGCTGCCTAATTTTTCCATGTTGACATTAGAGGAATTAATGCATACCAGGAAAGTGCACTGCCACCCACAATGCATGGTACAGTGTTTAGTCTCATATTTACAATTGTTCACTAGCTCTTGGTTGAAGTTTGAACTTCTAGGGGCCGGGAGGGCTCATCCATTTTTTCCAGATTTTGCTTTCCTTTATCCTGTAAATCTAGGCTTTCTGCTCGCTCTTGTCGTTTTGATGAGCCAAATATTCAAACTCGAATGCGTGGACTACTTGTGGGGGACTATTTCCCCCTTTCTCATAGTTGCCAGAGGTGTAGGCTTACACGCGTTCGCAGTACTCCAAACTGCCTTGTCATTATATTAAAAAAAAAACATACTAACCTTAAATGAGGCAATACAGGCGATTCGCAATAGTGCGCCTCCAAGAGTTTGAACGCGCTGGCCAATCACGATGCGTGAAACCTGTCGACCTATTGCGCGTTCGGAAAGGGTCGACAGATTTCACGCGTCGTAATTGGCCAACGCATTGCAAACTCTTAGAGGCGCACTATTGTGAATCGCCCGTATTACAAGTCTGCGCTAGAAACATGAAGTAGTCTGGGCATTATACGGAACCCACAAAAGATGAAAGTAGGCCAATCATGCAAATCTTAAACGTCAACAGACGGAAGTGGTAATTGGTCGATTATTCTAACGGCCACTGATCAGTCGCAAAAGATGGGGATGTGTCTTTTATTATTATTCCAACCTATCAAAGCGACCAGGTATCCACTTGCTCGCTAACATGCCTGTTCATTCCTGCTTGTATGTTTAGATATAGGACTATACATGTACTGACTACAGAATATCATTGGTCAGTTCTGAGACTCCAGCGGCAATTCGTAAGTGGAAATGGTCTGCTACAAGCTGTTTGGAAGATATGTTTTCCAAAATTCTAGGAGACTCATTGCCTAAAATCCTGCCAGTTGTTTCCAAAATTCAACGCAAATGAAAGTGATCTGGACGCGAAAGGCCCACAGTAGACCAGCCTGTCGTATGAATAGTGCCAACTCAGCTGGTTCGCTGCGTTCTATTTTTACTGGGCTCTGGCCTGGGATTGCGAGCCTCATAATTATCGGCCTTAATTCGCCGCCTGTGACTGTGAGTTTGGTTCTCGGCGCTGCTGGAGGCGCACATCGCGATGTATACCGCGCTGAGGTGGAAACTCCGCGGCCGTTGATTCTAGCCCGCGGCTGCCTCGGCTTTTGTACCCACAGCACCAGTCGGGTTCTGCCCCGTCTGAACACTGGGGAATATTGCCACGAAGCGGACTGGAAGAAAACGTTTCACCTCATAAAAATAACGCTTTATTTGCCGCGTAATTTAATTTACACTCTTTGGGGGTGATTTCTGACTTACTAATGCATTGAGCATGGGGCCCTTTTTTTTATACTTTAAAGAGCTACAGTCACGTCGTGGTTGAAGGGTATCTTGCGCTCAAGAAAATACTTTAAAAGCCTTTTCAGAATGACCGACATAATACATGTATGCGTGTGAAAACCAGCGAAAAATATCTCATCTGTGTAACTGACGGTTTGTACCAACCATTTAATAGGGCCTAGCTCTGTAGCGCCATACGGCAAGGGCGAATGGGGGCTGGGTTCAGGTGGTCGAACGGCCTCCCCTCTAATCTTCTGTAATCACCCATTGACAAAATATCAACTACACAACAGAAATCTTTGATATGTCTTTTTGCGCACTGAAACTGCAACAGATTGCAAGATTCTACGTTCTATTTCTTTCTGTTCTTTTTAATTTTCCGTCTGGGGGTCGCCATGGCACTTCTACCCCACCCCTTGCAGAGAATGCATGCCCTGTAACAGTCTTGTAATGTGCCACCCACTTTTTAAAATTCTCACTCGTAAGTTTGTTTATAGGGCACAGAAAAAGATGTACAGGTTATTTACCCTGTTGATGGAATTCGAATCCACGTTGCGATAGTTTAAGTCAACAGTACAACTACTTAGCTGTTTGCCGTGACGATTTCGCATGTCAGGTGCCGGAGTCAGCCACGGTGATACCGTGCACGATATGGGGCCGACGGGTACCCCCCGTCCAATCCCTGTACACACTCTAAACTATTGTTACCTAACACATCCCCCCTAGAAGTCTGTAAAGAATTCCTGAGATTCTGACCAAACAATGACCAACACAAAGGCGAGGGGGGGGTTCTCTCCGCCCCATATCTTGCATCATCCGTATCAGTAAAAAAAAAGCGTGGGTTGTCAGAGTAGATATATGATGTAAATGCCGTGTAGGGGGTAATTCTATGAGGAAAAAATACCCTTTAAATCAACGAAACTCGATAGCCGAGTAATTCCTGGATACCACATCAGGTGGCTGTAACTATGGCTATGATCACGTCATGATGAGACGTACGCTACCCAGGTGTCGTCCCATTATGCAGTCCGTTGATACATCCATCTTTTTTTTCTATCAGTGGGAAAACACAGCAGTGTTCATATATACCCGACAGGAGTTTCTGTATTGGGTCAACCGCGTCGATGGGATGCATTACGTCAGTACAGTGCAAGGTAAAGACAAGGAAGCCACAAAGATCGCGGATTACATTCGGTCGGACATGGTCGGACAAGCTGCAAAATCAGTGGATCGCAACAAACATGCAAATACATGTAGACGAATACAAATTCCGGATGGGAATCCCACTAGCCCAATAGTCCATGTTGGCCCAGATCTGCGGCCAAGATGTACTTTTCTGACGGGGGGAGAATAGTTACCTTTTGACCCATAATAATGTAATAACTCAAATCACGCTTGCAGCTAATCAACAGTTCAAGCCGATGTGACCGGATTTCCTAGTCAGGGACCATATTCCAGGGTTGTTGTGCAAGAACGTGTTTTTCTACTTTTTCAAGACTAACCATTACTTTTCTTTGCATTATTCGAATATTACTGCAACTGGAACACATTTTCCACGAGTTCGCTCTCAATCACTCCGCTGCAAGCTTGATTGTTGGCCAGTGGTAAAGGCGTGCATTGCACTTGTATGTAGGATGTCGTGGGTTCGAGTCCTGGCCGAGTTCAAGTGACAACCCGGAGAATGAACAGAGAAGGTGAAGGGCAAACATGGAACATGCATCGTGGTGTGTACGAGGCTGTATTTCGAGGGTAAAAACCCGCTAGCCCCGCATTCTCGGGCAGTCCAGGTATAGACTCATGCCGCGTCTGTACTACTCAGCTCCGACACATAGTAACAGTATGGGAACGGATCGAGTCGCTAGCTGGCAACTTCAACTAGGCACGTGACGTTGTATTTTCCTAGACCCTTAGCCAAGTAATTCGGGCGTTGTCCAACATCGCACGATGTAAAGAGATCCTTGACTGATTGTCGTCACGCAAGCAGACGTGTCGACTATAATAGTGAGCAATGTCTAAAGCTCGTGTCGGCTAGGTCTACGTCTGCACCGGTTAAAGCTGCAAGAGCTAGCTCTGCCCAGATGTATTAGGCATCAAGAGATACTACCGGACTCCATCTGGATGCCTTTAAACATAAGGGACTTAGTGGAGCGTTTTAAAATCAACACGTAACAGCGCCATCACTGGGGGCTGGATTAAAAATGGGGTAGGGGGCAGCGAACTCACCTCAAAGTAGTGATGAGGTACGTTCCTCATGCTGTGCGAGTAGCCCGTGTTTTTCAGCAGCTCGATGAAGATGTCGGGCGTGTCCAGGTTCTCGACCAGAGAACAGAAGGCCGAGACTACCCGGTAGCCATGCGCTCGCATCTTGGGATTCTTCTTTAAGACATCAATATCTTTCAAGTCTTTGAGCTGGGCGAAGTGCTGCTGGGAGCTTGGATAGTTTGTAAATAGCCTGTCCGAAAAAAAAAAGAAAGAAAGAAAGAAGAAATATCAAGCATGGTACTTCAGGTTCACAGAACGACTGATCAATTTTTTCGGCGGTGCATGGGGGTATAACACTGAAACTTTCTGCCTTGAGAATTGGCCAGTGCTATGCTTAGTTTTACCTCAATGGAAAATTCTGATTAGTATCGAAGAGTTACGAAGCCTGAGCAAAGGTTTTTTAGTAACAAAATCCATGTGCTCTGGGTGCCCGTGACTAGCACTTGTTTACCAAACTTTTCTTAAGGCCTCTCCACGGTCTAAAAATATAAAACCAACACCTCAAATATTCCCATTTTAAAGAGCAAAAGTGGAATAAAATTGTTCAATAATCCTCTAGTCACTGTATTTCCCAAAGTGATTCTAAACTGTAGATAACTGAGTATTTTCGTACATACATATTTTGGGGTCAAATGTAAAAAATTTTTCAAAGCTCCGTGGCCCCATGCAGTCGTCGCAAAATAGTCGGGTAACGATGGGAGCATACACAAAAAAGTGAAATGTGTAATGGGAAGCACGATAACAATGGTTATCTCGTGAGAGGCCCACTGAGTCACCGGCGGTTGTATTCAGTTTTTAGAGTGCGGCATTGAGCCGATAGGTTCTTTTGGGTCACCGTGAGAGACGTGAAGGTTGAGCCCATGCAGCCTGCGTGCATTTACTGTTTTTAAGAACAGGAACCGCGGTGTTACTTATGATGACAGGCTTTTCAAAACATGATGAATGTACACCCTTACATGAATCCGTTGACGCAGACAAAACACCGTGTCAGACTGTACATTAACGAACATCCGCTAAAAGCACAGAAAAATATCTTCATGCACTGATTATTTTTGACACACCCCCTATAAACCACATGTTTTTCTCTCCAAGTGGCTGCCGCACCTTTCGTTACAGTTAACATGACCAGACTTAACCCTGTTTAGAGGCAAAGACATCTCGACTCAATATGTGCTCCCAGTGTTTGGAGAGAGAAAATCACAGATCCCTCAAAAACAGTTCACAACTCGCGTGTCCTTTCGAGGACACTGTTAGGGAATTTTCGGGAACAGGTCACGGGGATATTGAACGAGTGACGAAAAAACATACAAAAAAAGTCAAGAGACGACGTGGAAAATTTATTTTCTGAACCGAGACGTGTGATGGTTTTTCAGGATGTGTGGTTGGTTCCTTTACCACTTGGAGTTGATCACAGTCGTGTTGATCACACTGCCCCAACTTGAACTTTAAATTGGCAATTATTTGCAACAGAAGTGTTTGCGTTCCCCCAGGGGGTACAGGAAATGTACGCCCATTTTGGAAGCCCCTGCTGTCCTGCAATGTCCGTAGAGTAAAGAAAAGTGCAACATTTTTTGTTGCCAAGGCCTCGGTTTTTCTCTGACTGCTTCTAAGGCCCTGGGGGCATGCGTATACGACCCGTAATTCAATTAGGTAAAAAGTATGTGCGGTAAATTGTATAAGCTGTATTCGACACGCCATGGCTGGCTTCGAGTTGATTTGGTATTGTGTATGCGACTTGTGGGCACTTCGTGGGCACTTTCCTCGCAAAGTACCAAGCAGTCGTTAATATGAGGTGTTATTAAGTCTACCTGGAAAGGCAATGAAGATGGCGTAACCATGTACTGATCGAGGTTCCCTTTTGTTTCAAACTTATGAAGCGGGACGATTCGGCGGGAAACTAAAAAAGTTACGAAAATCGTTAAAGTTTGTGTGTTAATTAATGAAGTCAACCTGGTCCAATTTCCCGTTAGCCGTAGACAAAACGAGAAAATCGACCCTCGAGTCAGTATTTACGGTATATTAGGGTGCTTAAGGGAAGCAGTGAGCGAAGAGAAATCAAAGACAACTCAAGTTCGGAGTTCTTACAATCAACTTTTTGACTGACACTTATCAGAAAAGGTTTTGAAGTAAGAATCGATTGGCGTCCAGACAAGGGCATAACTAGCTCCACACGTTCACTGCGGCGTATCACGGTCCCTCCCGAGCTCTGAGTCGGCCACGTCTACTGATCGGAAGCATGCCAATTTGCCGCGCCACAAGCGACCGGTGGTCTGAGGATCTCGCAATCGCTGCAGCGGACACGACAGCACAAAGCTGATCGACACAAAATGACCAATGTCAAGTCAAGTTGACGCGAAGTGGATAACGACAGCGCTGGAAACAGGGGCAGTCGGGAGCCTGACTTAGAATGATTGCATGCGTATGTTTTTTTTTTTAACTCGCTCGTGCTGTGCACCAGAACGTTTAGTACATTACATTGCAAACTGACAGCAATTAAAGCCCTTTTGGACCGATCTCAGTAGTCAAAAATCGTTTTTCGAGGATTCGGGCAACTTGGCGTAGGTAATGCAAGTTCCTGTTATTCTTGTCAATACTTGCCTAAAATAATAATAGGCTATTAGCTGAACCGGAAAAAGGGGGCGGCGAGCCTATTGATCGGTGGCGGGAACCAGACCGCTGGCGGATGCCCAAAAAATGACCACGTCAAAAGAGATACTGTGTCCACATAATGGTTGACGACTGATTTGTTGTTACAGACGACAAATTCTTATGTATTTGTTCTTTCTCACCATAACGGGTGGAGTCGGGTCATCAAGATTGTTTAGCCTCGTTCGTCGCGTGAATCCATTCCAGTCTCGTGGTAATTATCGAGCATATAGGCCTACATGGACAACAGCTGACGATCTCATTTCCTGAACATTTGGTTTTGTCATGGACTTTAAAAGACGTGCGCATGCAGGCTCTATTATGACGGATTTTTTTTTTTAATTTTAACTTCTTCGAAACAAACAGACACACAGATGAAATACACACAAATAAAAGATAGCAGAAAAGTCATAAAGCAAATTGAAGTTTGAAAAAATCGGAATACCTAGGCCGCGATCACGAACATCACGTTGGAAGACGCTCTCCAACTTATCACCACCAAAATCTCAAAGACTTTTACTTGGACAGACAGCCTTAGAAAGAAACCGACAATCATTTCTGCAGTGAGTTTCTATCGCAGCATTTTTACATATGAATAATGCATGAAAGGAGAAGCGGACAAAATGTCATCGGCTCGATAGGGCTCGATAAAACTTCGTTATTTGCAGTGACTCGAAGGGTGAAACGAAATCTGGTGTGGCTGTTAAGTGGTGTCGTTTGTTGTGGACCTACTTTGGTATTTATTCTGTACAAGAACAAGGATTGTAAGGGACCGGCTTGTACGCAGATGACTGCAGTCTGCCATGGAAATGGAATTCGGCATGCTACATATCCGCGACAGCGCGATTGACTGTGTAACCGTAAGGCATGACGAAAGGAATATGACGATACACGGTGCTTACCCTGTAAGCTAAAAGGCCCAACTTGTGTGTTTTTTGTTTATGTAGTCCTTGTAAATGAACCTGTCTATCACATTCAATTTTCGTTCGCCATGTTAAGGATGTAAATCTGCATATTTCTTAAGATTTCACGCAGAAATCTCAATACCATGTTTTACACTAATATTGTCAGAGGCTGAAATACTTTGCTGTCTTCAATTTTCTTTTTCTTTTGGGAAAAGTATGGAAAATTCTAACATTAACCCAAGCAGGATGTCAAATACTTTTTGTACACTTATGGGGAGTAGAAAGTTGCACACAATATTTCCAAAGTAATTTCATGTTACGGGCAGTTTAAATTGTGCAACCATCACAGATGGCGACACTGGGTCACAACTCTAAAAACACAAGTTCACTCATCCGACTGCAGCGTATCGTGTGACGATGTAAAAGTCTCAAACTCACTTGGCGAAGAGCTCCACCCCGAACTTGGTCTTCATGGTGCAGACGACCGCCCATGACTTCCGAATGTGCTCTTTTTGTTCCTTTGTTAAACCTGTCGTCTCATCCGGGACATCGTTATCACCTGAGGGTGCAAGATATAGTGAAATGAACTGGTTAAGTTTCTTCGAGGTGGAATGGGGCTACTTTAACCTCACTTCAGCTAGATTTTTCGTGGGACAGCAGAACCTCTAAACCTTGAAGAAATGACCAGTCAACACTGTTTCGAGAGTGCTTATTTTGGAGGGAAAGAGAAAGCATAGGTTTTGAATGACAACATTATTGTCCACTGTATATCATGAAAACACAAGCTATGTTCACCTGTCACTTGGTAAACGTTTGACAGATGAGATGTTACAGACATGTGGAGGCAAGCAGCTGCTTTGACCAATTGTAGTCCATGCCATCCACTACGTGCAGAATATAAGCAACCAAATTAGTTATATTGACATAGCAAATAGTTCAAACATTTGTACGAAAGGAGCTGACAGCAGCGCTTGCTCACTTACGTTCTTGTGTCCAAAATTGACATGAAGAAGAAAGGTCTGCTTGTTTTGATGCCCTACCGTCATCAACGCCCTGATATACGATTTGTAAAAGGTGCATTCAAACTATACATAAAATGTTTCCTTTCTCCTTTATTGTGGTGAGAACAAAGCTTGGGAATATTTACGATACAACCTTGACTTCAGGTTGCATGTCCCTATGCAACCGCGTGGAAACTTGTCGAGATGCACAAACGCACTTCGTCAAAGGAAGTTCTCTTACGCTGTATGTATGACACATAACAGCAGGTAACGGTTTATTTACGATATACCAGAGCATTGGGGCCCGGTACTGCAAAATGCACCAGGCAAAAAGGTCACCACACCAAACATAAAAACCCGAATGTTCCTTCTCGACACGTCCCTATAGTGCAGTAAATCTCCAGCTAAGAACGAAATTACCACTTCGGCTTTATGCTAAGTGATCACAATAAAATAGTATTCAGGGTTCGTAGGGTTTAATGTTACAGTCCGCGAACTGTATTTGAATATTGTATGCTATAATTTTTCGCAAGCTTTCAGAAAAGCACAGAATCGTGGGTTTGATGTCTAGTCGCCATCTTGGATATCCCGTGTACAACAATGTTCACGAACGCAGCGAAGTCACCTGCAACGTTCCACGGTGTTTTCATAACGTGGTCTCTTCATCTGTGGTCAGATCTCTGTTTAATATGACTCGGTCTATGCACTGAGAAACGAAATTAAACGAATAGCATTATGAAGACCCGACATCTCAACGATTTCATCGACCCGTTTCTGAGATGTTTTTTACTGATTCTAAGAAAGGACTCCTATAGTGGTACTAGAAGACATTAAAGGCCGAGCACGGAACGATTAATTGTATAGGCCTAGAGAGCTGTTGGTCAGAATTTTCATCGACTGCTTAAAGAAAATGTTGCCAAGAAACCGACAGATCTCGAGTTGAATTAGTGGATTGCGAGCAACAAGCCGAAAAAAAAATCAAACACCTCCGAGATCGAGGTATCATCCAGGGTCAGTCTTGGAATCCCCCGTAATATCCTCAGGGTTAATTAAGTGTATCTCCTCTCCATCCACACCCAGGGTCGCTCACCAGGGATTTACTGTGCCGGCAAATTGTCAGAAATCACGGCTTCCGAGTTGCTCTGTAAACTTGGTGCCCAGGTAAAATACGGGTGGTGTGGGATTTGAAAAGGACAGAGAGAGAGAGAGAGAAAGGTGCCCATAGCGCTGGGATTGCGCGCGATCCTGGTACGCGCCGCGTAATATGCGAGTTATCTGGCAATAAAGCGGCGTTTGGGCTCGACGGTCCCGCGCCGATCGCCGAAGGCAACATCCGTTTTTACGGTGCGACCTATCGACTCGAAACGGAGCGATTTCTAATAATAACAGACAAGCTTGCTGTGTAGATTGGGTAAGGGCTGCCCTGGTTTTTCTGGTGAAATCAAGGTACCTGCCAAGACTCATCTTAACTGGCTTTCATTTTCTTTCTTTTTTCTTCTCTTCAAACTGAAGCGCAATGTAATGCACTCTCTACAATACCAACAATATCATGAATACAATGAAATGCAAAGACAAACAAACAAACCTGAGAAGCATACATTGAAATATCTTTGTCCGAAAGGAATACCAACTATTCCGCAGTATAAATCGATACTGTACCCCTCATGTACCCTGGTATTTGTGGTCGGTCCCTTTGCAGCCATGAAGCGTCGCGGTCTGTGGCGCAGGTTTTCTTCTGTCCAGATTTTTGTCTCAGCTGGAACCAAGTTAACGGCATCAATCAAATCGAGATTTGTGGTTTTTGCATCCCGGGCAGACGTCATCTGTCTTTGTCCTCCTGCCATCAAAGTCAAATTATGTCCAACACCTGGACTCCGACATGTCCCCTGTCACTCGAATACGCGGGTTACAGGACGAGTTGAAATACAACCGTCGAATATTTACACGACGCACCATGGAAAGGAGCATGACTGGTATCGGTGTGATATATGGTACATGTAACTCGGCAACTTCAAGGAGAGCGACTTTGATTGTGGGTATAAAGCTTTGTCCAAGACAAACTGATACTTGTTGGAAGGTTAATCGTCCTGGGATTTGTGGCTGTTGCAGTCTTGGAAACATGACGTTTTTACGCTAAATTACAGTCATCGTCTTGCGGAAAACAGGTAAAGCATACCTGACCAGTCTAATTGGTGTGGAGAATATTCCCCATTCTTCTTCCAATTTCTTATAATAAGCAGTAGTAAACCATTTCAGCATAAAGAGTTGTTGCTTTTGTGAAGTGCTCTACTTTTTTTAGCTCATTAAATTTGGTTTGATGTCAAATCATGCATTTTTCACGCCTGCTCAGTATGAAACACAGTCTTCGCTATGCTTTTAGAACATTGTTATCCGTAGCTTCACTGACAGAAACTGAGTCTTCAGCCGATGGAAACCTTGGAGCATCTTTAGTCCACTCTCCGTTGGCTTCCATGGAGTGATGGAAATTGGAGAACCCAGCTGCAGACAATAAGCATGTATGCAGTGAATGACCCCGAAATTCCGCCAAGGACACAGTCATTGGTACGTTTCCATCAAAAGAAAACAAAACCTTTTCAATCAAGCCCTGTCTGCTAGCGAAATTTGTCTGCCCCCTCAACTGTTCTTGGGCATGATGAGACCGTAATGAGACGAGGAAGTAATCGTTTTCATAAAGTGAAACTTGTACAAACATTACCATGCAGAAAAAAAATATGCGCATAATCTGACATTTCTAGGTGAACGGGCAACCTGTAGGGATTTGGGACTCAATACTATAGATCCACTGCGCTCGGTGTAATGAGTTTTTGTGTATGCGCAGACACCGTCTCAGCAGATCGTGTGTGCGTATACACTCTGACAATCTAGTGTGCATTTTCGTGGTGCATTGCCGTATTGCAGAAAATGATGAGTCCAGATTGCAAACATAGCTTTCTGGGAAATTAAAGAACAAGTATACGACCAGGGGAATGGCCAAAAAGTGTAAACCACGGTGTAATCCAAAACTTAATGTGTTGGAAAGTGCTCTGGGTTTTCCGTCGGTATATAAACGACGGGAAAGCGAAAGTGAAAATCACCACACAGAGGCAGGCCAGACACCCCTGAAATCCTTCCATTCATTTCATCACGAAAACTTTTAGAATCGGCAAAAATGGGACGAGAAGAAAGCAGAAGAGGTGCTGATTTGGTTATGGGGTGAAACTATTACAAAGGGAAACACGAACTTGTGGTTCGAAATCACAGGGGACATGGCAAAAAGGAATGATAGAGGAATGATGCACTTTATACCGACACCATACGGTTATGGTCTAGTTAACGGAATTAAACTTATGTCTAGATGTTGGCTTACGCAGCTGGATTAGGTTAGAGATCAACCAGGGAACACGTTTTGTTTGTTTGTTTGTTTGTTTGTTTGTTTGTTTAGTTGTTGTTGTTTATTGTTTTTGACAACTCCTATTATATGTTAGTCGATTTTGGACAAATTAATAATGCTGTGTAGGCTTAAGGCACCTTCCTGTATTCGCGTGAACACTTGTGCCAAGCGTTGCGTATCCGACAGAATCGCTCCAAGGGCGATTTTGACGACCGAAAGCAATGGACACGTGTGTTATGTTAATGGAGTCGATTTTCGTCTGTGAAAGTGAAACGCATGAACGCATCGTGTACGCAACGCACCCCAAAAAGTACAAAGGGAAAGGTGCCTTTACAGGGGAGAATCTTCCTTCAACCTCTTGCTCCAGTTAGTCACAGACCAGTAAATAGAGGATATCCTTTGCAACAGATGGGAGGAAACACTGGAAAAGCGAGTTGGCAAATGCTAAAAATTCCCCTTTAAGGTTCCGACCGATGCCTCTTCCACCCTGGTCCACAACAATCTTCGCCTAAGCCACCGAAGAAATTGCACGACAACCCGAGAGCCCTTTGGAACTGCGCAATCATCCCAGCCAGCGCGCCAGGCAGTAAATCGCCAAGATGAAACCGGGCCCGCGGTGCTTTCTTTTCTTTTTACCCCCCCCCCCCATCTCTCCTCTTTCCCAATTCTTCTTCTTCTTTTTATCTATCTGTCCACTAATGATTTGCTGGTATGTTCCAGGGCTCTTAATTTCAGGGAGAAGGAGGACTCATGATTCCTTGCGAGAAGGGTCGTGTGTGTAATCGCTCTTTTCGATTTGGGCTCGGATACCCCCGTACATGTTGAATTTGACCTGTTTTTTTTTTCTGTGGAAGGCGTCTAAGGCAAATCGCTGGTGGAGTCTAAGATGCTTCGGATGATAAAACTGCTCTCTGCTGTATCCATTGCTCCCCTTGTCCAACAGCGGCAGTTCTTGGCTAATTCAATATGAAGCTCGTCTATATGTTAACGGGTGCTCTGATTTGCTGTTATCTTGAAAGAATCAATTTGATGCTTGAAGCAAGGGAAATGATGTTTGTTAATTATGAAATAAATAGAAGCAGTGTAAGGTAGTGCATAAGTTGACGGCACCCTTTTCTCTCTAAGAGTTGTTTTTTTTTTGCTGCTCTCACTCCCATGAAAGTGTCT